ACGAAGATGCCTATTTATGATTTTCTATTTAACGACCGGATTACGGTTCGAATTATGCATGACGCACACATTTTTTGTATTTTGTTTTAAATAATAAAAAAGATAAAAATGGGCAAAAGTCACAAATAAATCAACAAAGTGTCGTACAGAAATACAAAAATTGTACAGCAGGACCAAAATTTTTTTTTTATTCTTTTGGAGCGATTGTCGCACAAAACAAAAATTACGTGCTCACAGTTATAACTTGGCGATTTGTCTATTTTCCTATTTTGTGGTTATGATAGGGTTCTTTTACTGATATGATAAAAATCAAAGTAGTAGACCTTCAATTTAGTTTGATTATCCTCCCTGCCAGTAGGAGGTAATATCTTGTTGTTGAAACATGTTGTCCATAGTATTATCTGTTTCATATCTAGCTGGACTTTATAAATCAATGGTATTGAATATATGAAGAAGATTAAATGTCTTGGGTCCTAAACTGTCTTCCAGCAGCTGTTACATTCTGATTCTTGCTTGTCCCTTGGTACAATAGATGTATTATGGTTAATATGCTATAATTTTAAACAGATACTTACTTATTGTATGATTGTTACTGTGATTGTTTCATTACGACAGATTCACAATGTGAAATTATAACTTGTACACAATCACTGAATAAGTTTGATTGGTTCTAAATCAAAGTAGTAGGCCTTCAATTTAGTTTGATTCACCTCTCTGCAGACCTCAAACCCAAGGCAACATTAATCTCTCTATTGTTAAAGAAGAAGGCGCATATGGAAGAAACAGTGCAATACAGTGAACTTTACCCAATAATGAAACCTTTAGTTAATAAGAAACTAGGGAATCATATTAAAAAAGTATTTACTAAGCATATCTCTACATAATCAATTAATGTAAGCAGTAAACCTTTTGTCACTCTCCCTGCCTTTCTCCATTGTTTGCATTGTTCGACCATATCTTGTTGGAGCTAGACTTCTTCTGTTAATTCTTGACACAGTAAGCAGAATAAACAAACTTTTCTTTAATATATTTTTGAAGTCAACTTCATTTGCTTATTCAATGCAGTACATGAGTTTTTGATTTTTATTTCAGTTATTTGCTATAGACAAGTAATGAATGGTGTAACGTATCCTAGAAAATGGTAGTGAATATGATAAGATTGGAATTTTAATTTCCTTTGGAGGACAGTACAATGAAGTAGATTTTTTAATAGTAAGACTTGACAATACAATGAAGTAGATTTTATAATTTTATCTTAGTGCTGCTGCTGATCGCCTGATCTTTCATAAACATACTAAGTGTTCCATCATATCATAATAATGGTGGGGATCTGTATGTGCAATGTGTTTTAATGCCACTGAAGTTGTCCTCTGAATATGTACTTAAACTGATGTGCTATCATGTTGAGCTGCTTCTCAACCAGATGTTATAAGGAGAGTAATAAGTTGGTAAATATGGTTATCTTTTATGCTGCGTAACATTACTTTAATGCAAAAGGCTTGATGTAATGTAGTCAATTGAGAAATTAAGTAGCTTGTTGTAGCATTCTCAGTTGGTTTTATCATGCTAGATAATTAGTAGAACATTACCTTTACTTTTTTTTTGTCTTATAAAGTGTTAAATATGTCTCTAATCTTAAATATGTCTCTAATCTTAAAGCTTTGACACAGAAAGAAAAATAGGAAAGAATCTCCAACTAGAGATCTTATCAGCATAAAGTTAAAGGCTGCAATATGCAACCAAAGAAGGAACAAAGCATGTTTGGGTTAAAGACATAATGATAACTGCTGAAGTTTAGTAACTGTTGAAGTTTAGTAACCTTTTTTCTCTTGGCTTTTATTTTATTAAAGATTCAGAAGAAAATAGGAAGAGGCTCAAAGTTAAAGTTAGGGATGTTCTAAATTTATCTGGTGAAGAACGTATCATGCTTGAATTCGATTACCTGGACGAACCATTTGGAGAAGCACAAGGCCTTATTGCTGGTTTTGTGGAATTTTAGCAACTGATTGCGCCTTATTTCCAATTCACCTTGAGAAATGGTCAGATTTACCTATATCATACTTTGACCATGTACTTGATCGAATTGTAAAGGTATAAGCTTTAGTTCTTTCTGCTACATGTCTATTTTATTGTTGGATTTCACATTTGCATGTAGCAGATTAGCTAACCAATATTTTATTCTTGAAGAAACAGTTTTGTTTTAAGACAGTCGAGTCAGTTGCACGGCGTTATGTTTATAATTCTATTTGGAAAAAGTGGAGTGCGAATAGGCTAAACTTGTGGAGAGAATTCTATGATCCACTCAAAAGTAAAGCTCAGATTATGAAAAATATTCCAGCTGGGATTCCACGGGATCAGTGGACTTCATTTGTTGATTACCGTTTTAAAGAAACAACTTTGGTATTTATTTATTATTCAACTTGTATGTTTGATTATATTTAGTTATTTGTGTGATTGACTTTCAAGTATTTTTTTTGTAAGGAAATGTGCAGAAGGAATACTGAGATTCGAAAGAAACAAACATTTACACATACAGGTGGCTCCAAACCTAACTCCAGAAGAAGGGCTGAAATGGTGAAAGATGTTAATTCATGTCATTTTACTTTAATTATTAAACTAACTTATGTAACTATTCCAGTTAAGTTATTCTATTGGTTATTTTATTTATAGATGGCTGAGACTGGACGAAGGCCTGGACGTGCACAACTTTATCTTGATACTCATAAGAAACAAGGTGGAACATATGTGAATGAGGCGGCAAAGGAGATATGTGTAAGTTTCTTCTTTATCTTTGTGATTGTTGAAGGTTATTCCTTTTTGGGGTATGAAATCTAATATATGTATCTGTCTGATTCACTATTACTTTCAGCTTGTTCCAGACTAGTTATGTATCTTTTTTGATATTTATCAATGGGTTGTAATGTCAAATAAGTCTACAATTTGTTTTTTCCTTTCTTGTTTGAAACATTATCTGTTTTTTCTTGGAAACAACAGTATCTCTGTCCTGATGATGAAGTGGTTTTAATTGCAACTATTAATCCAGCTAGTAACACAGGAAATATAATTCCCCCGGAGCTCCATCTTGTGTCGTAATAACTGCTCTCTTTGTTTCGTCATTCTACGTACAATGGCGATAACACAACAGCTGAAACAAGTTCTAAATTCATTTACTCCTATGTGTGAAGAGTACTGGTTTGAACATGTAGCATAGCTCTCCATTGTGTAGGAGTTTTGATAAAAAAAAATTAAAGGTCAGTTTTCTTGTTATTAGGCCAAGAGAACCAACCCTCAATGGGATAAATGATAGCTCAAAGTTTGTAACATTAAGATTTATAGAGGAGCAAGACAAGGTATGAAAGGAATGTAGGTGTAAAAGTGAAACTTTTAGGTGTATTTATACTTTTAAAGTGTCTGGCTTCATGCATTTCAGCAGCTATCTCTTTTTTGCTTGTCTTGGTGTGCATTTAGTTACTTATTAATGTTGTGACAAACAATATATAGGAAAAAATTGAGCTTGCTTTGAGCCAAAGTACGGTGGATGATTCTGAAGTTTCGCCGAATGATTTTGTTGGTAAAGTGCTAGGAAAAGAGCACTCTGGAAAGTACGATGCTTAGGATTAGGAGCTGTCCCTAGCAAAGTTTTAAACATGCAAGACCTCGTTTTGGTGGTATGAATGCTTCAAGTAGTGATGCTTCACGTTTGAACCATTGCCAAGAGAACTACAATAAATTGTTGAATGCTCACAACCAAAGCCAAGAGAGCTACAAACAAATGATGAATGCTTTCAAGGCATATATGATAATGAAAGAAGGGACAATACCGGAACAATTTGTGGAGTTCTTTGCTTCTCCTCCTACAACGGTAAATAAACTTGTGATTTTTTTTCAACTGATATTATCTGTATCAGGAGCTGCATCAACTGATATTAGCTGACCTGATGTCAAAAGACACGTGCTTTCCTTGTCCGTTCTAGAGGTTTTGGCACTCTGTAAAATCCATGTTTGCTTGTTTACATGAACTTAAGCATGTTTTTTTCTGCTGAATGCAGCACTCCAGAATATGCTCAGAGCACTTCTGTTGTCATTCTTGTTTGGCTGGACAATCATATGTTTATGTCCTATCCTGCATCAACGATGTGCTATGAGGTCATAACAGTATAGTGAAAACAAATAAATTATTGATCTCTTACACACTTGTAGCTTTTGACAATGTCTCAAGAACGAAGACCCGAGGGCACCTTTTAAACAGGAAAGAGCTGCTATTTGAGCTTTCCTGATAAACTAATTTTCCAACTGTTTAAATGTACTGCTGAATTCCTAGTTTCATGTGTGTTAAAATTTTGACTACAGAATAAAGGATGGAATTGGTTCAGATTTTTATTCAAGAAATAGCTTAAGTTATAATTAGCATTTAAAGGATCTTATTGTTTTATTTTGTTTGCTGCCTAGAGATGCAACTAGTGGATCACTAGTGGATCACCCACGGGCGTAAGAAGATCATCTGATGGCAGTAATCCAAGTGACAACAATTGAAGTTTTTTATAATTGAATTAGATAATTGATTATGGCAATGTAATTATGTGATTGGAGCGGATGTTAGAATGGGTAGGGTGAATGTTTTATGTTAAAATTTAGTTTGAAAACTAAGTTCGTTTCGAGCAACTAAATATAGAGGTAGATTGCTATATCGGAGACAGCTTTTCCGACGCTACTGTATGCAGCTAGAAACATTGCTGAATCTGCTTTGAGTTGTTTAGGAATTTTTTCCATCGGAGCATTTTTGTGGCCCCATCATTTAATAATCAATTTACGGGGGTTGAACTGTCGCAAATTAACTCCCACTAATTAATTACAGCAGTCGCAACAGAATTACTGTAAATTGATTGCGGCGAGCCTTCTTGCAGGAGTTTTGTGAACCGCTGCAACAACAAATTGCGGGAGTTATTGACTGCTGCAATTTGTAAAAATAATTGTCGCAATTTGACCTTTTTTTTGTAGTGGTGCCGCACAAAATCTTGAGTCATGTCATCCCATTTATGCCACTTACCGACATCTTGATAAGTATGCCATTCCAAAGCTACCCCAGTCAGGTTCTCACTGAAATACGCCATCAGCAACTCATCTTTCCTGCCAACACTTCTCATTCTACTACAATAACCCCTCAGATGCGCTACTCGATCTCCACGCCCATCATACAAATTAAACTTTGACATCTTAAACCCTTTCAACTTTTTGGATATCTCATATTGATCCACTGTCTTAGCAGGCTTTGCCGTTTCACCAGGAATCTCAAAATGTGGAGTGTAAGAGTACGAACCCGAGACCTTGAAAATTGGTTCTGGAGCATGGTGTTGGGCATCAGGAATTTCGAACACAGTCCCGCTAGAGGATCGAGGAAAGGTAGCAGGTGGATGAGCTACAAAGACATAAGTGGTCAAAGGATCGGGATATAAGGTGGTTCTGGGGGGTAGAGTGTGAAAAGGTTGTGGGGAGATATCCTGGATTTGTGTCAGTGGCGGAATGGTGACAAGGCTTTCAGTGTAGTTAGTGGGAACTGATGGTGGAGGATGCCCACTAATCCAAGCTTGGTATATTTCGGTCATCTGTCCTTTCAACCTTAAGACCTCTTCTTTCAACTCAGATTCTGATTCACCAATTTCCTTAGACGGATCAATAACCCCCATGTCCAAGTCTTTGCTAGCCATGGTCATCTTGCTCTTTGACCTTGTGTTGTATGGATGAGTTACTTAAAAATCACAAACCAACCGCCCTTCTGCTCAATGAAGATAACAAAAGGAACAAAATGGGGACATCCTGTTAGCATTAGGACATTTAACAACTGCAAATATCACATTGTGTGCAATGCACCTAGCAACAATTAGCGATCCTAGAATGACTTCGAGGGTCACAAAGTCACTTGGCATCATCCCAATTTTGTTCATTTCAATCTCCTCTTTTCGTTTCTTTTCTAGCACTTGCTTGCTCATTTTCCTTCATTTCTTATTTTGCTAATTATCACTCTTTTCTTTCCTCTCATTTCTCACACCCCATAACTTCATCTCTTTTTTTTTTTCCTTTTTTCTTTTTTGATTTTTTTTCTTTTTCCTTTTTGATTTTCCCCCCTTTTAAAATAAAAAAAATGATTCGATCGAACCGTATGTAGGTTGCCTACGTATCATGACACCGCATGAATCAGATCTTTACGTAGTTTGGGAAGATCGGGAATAAAGTAAAATAACTAGCATTCTCTTCTTCTTTTTTCTTTTTACCTTAATGACTACTCTGATAAGAAAAAAGAAAAAACAAATCCTTTTTTATATGAATTTTCTAGACTTAATGTTCTATAACCTATTCTAAACTTAGCGAGCATATATTTTTTCTCCTTTTTTTTCTTTTTTTGAAACAAATACTCTATGAGAAATTATTGAGGGAAAAATCCTACAAGAGAAAAATATTTTTTTTATTCTTTTTTTTTTAGGAAAGAAGTCTAAAGAATAAACCAAAGAAAAATATTTTGAATTTTTCATTTGATATCCCTGAAGAAAAATTTCGAAACGAGAAATGAAAAAGATTAAAAAACTGTTTTTGGATTTCAATTTTTAATTACCTAAAGAAGAAATTCTAAAGATAAACAAAAGATAAGGTATGTTATTTTCTTCTATGTACAGTATCCGGAAGTTCTAGTGAGAATAAAAAGAATATTTTTTTTCTATTCATTTTACATTAATTTTCGAAAGAAGAACATCAAAAGAAAATCTTTTTGGATTTTTGGAATTAATATCTTAAAGAAAACTTTTAAAGAAGTACTAAAAGAATTTTTTTTTGAATTTTTAGTCTTAATGTACTAAAAGAAAATATAAAAGCAATTTTTTATTCTAGATATTAATTTCCTAAGGAAAGCCACAAGAGATTTTTTTTGAACTTCTAGAGTTAGTATTCTAAAGAAAATAGTTTTTGGCTAAAATCATCCCTTAACTATAGCTCAAACCTAAGGTGCATCCTTGAGTTACCTCTGTAAACAAAAAATATCCCTATATTATCTAAAAGGCGGCAAAAATCATCATTCCATTAACTTTTGTCAAAAAAACTAACGACGTTAGCAAAAAACATGTCAAGGACATGCTTTCCCCACTAAATTTTCCCTGTCTTGTCCCTACCGCCCAATGTCTTCCACCTTCACCAAACTAAGACTTCATAAACTAAAAGTTTTGTTGAACTTGTAAAATACACACAACAAATTTAAGACAAAATTGAAGATACGACTTGTACACGGGGCGGATCCATCCTATTACGCGTGGGTTTCCGTGAACCCAGTAGCTTTTGCACTACTCTGTATATGTGTTAAAAAATTCACTCAATATCCATAATTTTTTTGTGAACCCAATTATTTATTTTATATTTACTTAATGTAGTCATTGTCCTGTTGACCAATTTTAAATATCTCCTAATTAATTAAAAAGACCCATAACGATAACTATACCCATTACCCATACACGAAAAACAAGCTTCAAAAGCTTCTTCATAAATGACTGATATGATTAAAAATAATAAACAAATTGTATTTCCAGTTCCTTTAACTATTTATAAAGCAAAAGCCTTTACCAGACTATGATTTTATTATATCAGTGCAAAAGCCTTTCTAATCATAGCAGTCATTTTTTAAATTTAAAATCCATTATTTTAAGCTTCACATACACAATCTTTTACATATCTAGTGCTACTTGTACTAAATTATTCAGTAGGATTATCACTTCCTTCTTCTTCCTCCTTCTCTTTCACTTCCTTTTTCTTTCCGGCTTTGCCTTCAATCTCCGAGCCCTGCAACACATCCACACACGATTCACCGCCTTCCGGAAGAGATGGCTTACCAACCAAATCTCCGATGTTCTCCTCATCCTTAGCACTGTCTATAACCACCACATCAGTCGTCCCTTTCGGCACTTCATCGTCGCTGCCCTTCTCAGTAGTTTATTAGTAAATAGTACATATATATATATATTATTCTATATATAACATTATGGACTTTTAGTCTTTTTCCCTGGTGAGGTACTATTACAGTATAGGAATACAAATTTCACCAAAAACTAGAGCTCTTTTGCTAAAGGTAGAAGACAATCCGGAAGGGACAAAATGGGAACATTTAGGGGGAAAGGCACGTGCTTGACATGTTTTTTTGTTGACGCTGTTATTTTTTTTTTACAAAAGTTAATAGAAGGATGATTCTTGCCACATTTTAAATAATATAAGGATGTTTTTTGTTTACTAAGATAACCCAAGGATGTACCTTAGGTTTGAGCTATAATTAAGGGATGATTGTCGCCAAAAACTCTAAAGAAAACATCTAATAGAAATATAAAAATACAATATCTCTTTTTTTTTTGGATTTTTGAGTTACAACACACTTTTTCAAATATAAAGTAGGAAGTAAAATAACAAAAGACTCGACATTACTGTACAAAACTAGAAAGTAAAAGACGAAATAAAATGAAGAACATACTCAAAACATAAAAAAATAATAAAAAATAAATATATCTCCTTAAGCAACTCCTACATGAGCAATCTTGACTGGATGGTCCTAAGGCGTTTGTCATGCCCAAAATTCGATAAGTAAATCCACACCTGTATGAAAAAATTAAGACCAAATAAAGTTAAAGGCCTAAAATGCTATTTGAGACAATAACCCTTTCTGTTGGACACATGCAAGATATGATTGAGGCTAGTTTTGCAAAATGACTTATTTGGCCAAAAGGTGGCTAAAAATGAAAAATTTGGCTAAGATCCCGCAAAGTCAAGAACCTAAGATTTACTAGGAAGATCGGACCCTATGTGGGTCGCCTACGTATCATGCCCCGAAAGATGAGAATCGGGTATGCGTAATTCGGACAGATTGGATACGGGCGGGAAATAAACTTAACAAATAACTTAGAGAAAATATATTTTTTGTCTTTTTTTGAAAAATAATGAAACGTGTAAAGTCTTTTTGGATTTTCTTTCCCTTTTTTTGATTTTTTTTTTGGAAAATGATCATTTTTTTCTTTTTCTTAACAAAAATGTGAAAGAAAACATAAATTGGGCCCTACTTGCCTTATTTTCACACTTCACCTTCCTTTATCATTTTTTCTTTTTTTTCATTTGCCCTTAACTATCATTGGTCCGCCAAATGACCCTTTTACCCTTGAAGATTGCAACATGTAGCACATAGGATGCATCAAGATGGTCTGTTATTTTTGGATATACATGTCCTAGACGGACCCAACCCCTGTGTTGAGTCCCTAACGTCAAATGCACGTGATGCAAACAAACGTTCTTACTAGGGATCCGACATGAGGCTATGTTATTATAGATTTAAAAACCTGGATTTATTTGTTCTAGACCTGGCTTACCCGAGTGGCTTACCAGAGATTCTGGGTTCTTTTCCCTCGCAGAGTTGCCAGAGCTGTCACACTTCCTTTTTCCTACCCCCGAAAGGGTATAAGAGAGTTTTTTCCAACTTAAAGTGACAATCGAAACAGGATTTTTTATTTATTGTTCAAAGTCGTTACTTGGAATAATTTATGATGTCAAGTCACCGGTTTAAATCCCGAATCGAGGAAAAATTGACTCTGTTTTACAGTCCGTGAACACAGAAATCCGGGTAAGAAATTCTATTAAACCGGGAGAAGGTTTTAGGCATTCCCGAGTTCTGTAGTTTTAGCACGGTCACTCAACTATTATTATTGGCATAATTATCTGATGTAATTACACATTTAAAACCTATGTGCATTTTTTAACTTTCTAAC